GAGTCCACAATGACAGACATAAATTGTTCACCACCATCTGTTGCTGGTTTTCTGATAATGACTGATATGGCATCAGGTGAGCAACACAGAATTCTTAATGGTGGAAAAATCTGATGGCAGATTATTCTGGGAGCATGATATGAACCACAGTGATTGTTGAAATGATTTATTGTGAAGGTAGTGTTACCCAGGGAAGACTCATACCCACACTCACCATCTATTTCAAGTGAATATGTAAGCATCTCATCAGCCAGTAGGACTTGGTTATATGTATTTGCATAGTATAATTTTCTATGATTTTTTTAACTGGGAAGTCATGGCCGTATCATGAGATTATATGAGCTTGACTTTGATGAATAATAATAATAATAATACATATTATTTAAAGGCACCTTTCAAGGCATGCAAAGACACCTTATAAAAAAAAACAATCAACACAATATGCAAACATACTTCTGTACGTGTATTAATACATTAAAACCTACCATAATCAAATTAATTAAAAGCTACCCTAATAACGTTGAAAATTAAAGTGAATAAGCAAGTTTAAAAAGATGGGTTTTGAGCCGATATTTGAATGTAGAGAAACACTATGAATATGAGGAGGGAGTGAGTTCCAAAGACAGGGGGCAGCGTGACTAAAGGCCTTGAACCCCATAGTGGTCAGGCGAGAAGAAGGGAGGTGGAATGAGAGGATCTACGAGTGCGAGAAGGAGTGTAGATATGCAAAAGATCAGAGAGGTAAGAAGGAGCCATATTATGAAGGTCTTTAAAGGTTAACAGCAATATCTTGTAATTAATATGATATCTGACACAAAGCCAATGAAGTTGCTGATTCGCTGATGAAGCTGTCAGTTATCTATCTGCCAACAGACAGATGCCCATACACAGAGGAGACCTGCTGCCTCATTTTATATAACCCCTTCAGGTGCTCCTGTAGGTCTGAGCTGAGGTGATGATCAAAGAGGCATACCTTTCACAGCAGTCTGGAGTACTCTTTAGTACTGTCTGCAGACATTACATCGTTTGTTTGATTAATTTAATCAGCATTCAGTCTACCTGACTTTCCAACTAAAACGCTGCTTAAATTGAATATATTTGCCAATATATGCGCATTTCTCCATAGACACAAAAACTGCAAATGCAGCTCATAGAACAAATTTTCACATAATTTATCCACTATGGTATGGGTATTCTATAATTTCTTTGCATATTCATTTGATTTCTCTTATGGAGGAATCTATTAGCATTTATATGAAAAAAATTGTGTTCTCTGGTCAGGTATACAATTTCTCATGGAGATTTAATTAAGATTTTGTTCGCCCAAAGGATTCCATCAGTTTCTCTGCAAGCACAGTGTTGGCACGTAACACTGCCTCACTTCACGTGCACTGGACGTGTATTTATGTGTGTATGCATTTTTTTTTTATGAACATCACTGTTTCATTCTCTTCCAGTGAATCGTGTTGCTGAAGTGCTGAGCTGTCATTGGCCCGGGGGCTGTTTTGGGTTGTCGTCAAGGCTGCTCTTCTCTCTAGTCTCAGAATGTACGGGACAAAATCTGATACCTGCTGTTTTCATTCACAGGCTCTTTAAGACCCAGTGTTTACATTAATTAACTCCACTTTCAGAATCAGTGGCGTCTAGATGGCTCAAGTTGTCCAGATCCTCAACTTTATACTGAATATTATAGGTTCCTGCAGCGTAACTGGAGTGAAGTCGATATGAGGTCATTCTCAAATAGCTGTCATGGAATTTTATTCACTGCATTTATTAAGTTTATTATCTCTTGCTGGATCAAGATGTCAGAACAGCTAATATTGGTATAAAACTTATTGTGATATTTCTGGTTACATTTGCTTAGTAATTATTTGCATTGGCATGAATTGTCTGCACAAATGACTTAAAGCCACCTTTGTGTGATATGCAGCATATTCACCAGCACAAAAGCACTGAAAGGGCATGAATCACATGCCTGTGTTATTTGTTTTTGAGTATTCTTTAGGACAGTGTTTCTCAACCCGGTCCTCAGGGATCCCCAGACAGTTCACACTTTTGCTCCCTCCCAACTGCCAGCCAGTGAAGACTGAATAGCTGGTACAGGTGTGCTGGAAGCTGGGGTGGAGCGAAAATGTGGACTGTCTGGGGCCCCTGAGGACCGGGTTGAGAAACACTGCTGTAGAAAGTCGAGTTGCTACATCTTCTGTTTTGTGTCATAACTACCCTGGAACCACCAACCCCCCCTTCATCAGTATGTCTGTGACCATGGTGCCAAAAAGTGACACACAAAGGACAGATTTAAAGACAGACCCTTGAATCTAAGTTCTGGCCTCCGCACCCTGTGTGCAGCCGCAGAACGACATTCAGGAATAGTTTTTCAGTGGAACGTTAATGTGCCTGATTATGAAATGATTGGTGTTAAACCCTCAAATGAAAGCTGCATTGCTTCATTTGTTGCGAAGCATTGTGCGTAAGAATATGGGCTAGCAGCATGAAGGCTTTTGGTTCAATTCCCAGAAGGGGATCTGATACCCTGCACAACCAATTTATCCTGAATGGTTCCAGTGCAATATCCAGCTCTATAAATGGTTTAGAGATGGGTAAGTCACTTGGAATAAAAGCATCGGCTAAACGTCTAAATGTAATACACATGTGCTACCCCAACAAGGCACGATAAATAAGGATAGCATTGTAAAGGGGCTCACAATGAGCCTAATTATAAAATGGCTTGCTCTGCACATGCAGATGAAATCTACATTTGATTATGTACCGGAGGCTCATTTATTAGTTCTCAGATGGTGTGCGTGCTGGGAATTACTTTTCATTTCTTAGTTGCATCTAGAGTTCCCCCTAGTGGTCAAGCATTGAGGTGCGCGCAGAACTCAGTGCAAGACAGCACATGCAGAGATACGAGCTTGACTACTAACACTTGTTGGGACACAATCAGGACGTGGAGCAATTAATGAAGAGGCTAGATGAAATGGCCGGAGATGCAGCTAAATAAGATGTGGCTGTCTGGGTGCCTGACTCTGGAGAGCGGCCTTGTGGGCGCCCCAGCCTGATAAAAAGGAGGTTGCTTGGATTCACATCAGGCAGGACTGTCTTCCTCAAGGCTGGTGCTGGCATAGATGTGACAAGTTGAGAAGTCAGTGGGGAGATTTTCTTTTGTTCTGTGTCATCACGTAATCGCGTGCAAGGTGAGTTCGTGAGAATGCTGATAATGGGATGTTGGCGACTATAGACCTTGAGTCGCGGTGTGGGGCTTGGCAAACACAGAGACAGATGCACACAGCGCCCCCTATCCACATGGCTGATTTGTCATTCACCAACTGGTTTAACCCCTTGGGAGCCAATGAGGTACCCAGAAGAAGTGTGTATTGTTTCAGCAATACTGCCGCCATCCCTTCATGGTTTGTGGAAACGCAGGGGGATCTCTGTGGTTCTTTGTAGTGTGGATAACATGCCTCCTGCTCTCTAAACGCCACCCGCCGTGTGTGCCTGCTTTAAAATGCAATGCACTCTGGGATAGCAATGTCTCTGTCACCTGTGAAGTCCTCGTTCTGGAGCTCCTGAGGCGGGGGTGCTCCCCCCCTGAATATCTTCAGTGAGATGCTCAGCAGTATAGAGAAATAAATGGTAGGACTGCATGCTGTGTGAGTCCCTTTGGCAACTTAATAATTTACTGAAAGATGAATAAAATAATCATTACGACTCGACAATGAGATGCATATCCAGTGACTACAATGGCAAGTATCTGAACAGCCAGCCTATCAGTCGCTAGATGGCTATCTGCCGGCCATTCTGCAAGAGGTTGGTGTTATGATCCTCATCAGATGTGATCCATCACCCCACTGCGCCTGGCTGGCCACTGTGTCCTGGAGCCCCCGGGATGGGGTGGGCCGGCGGGGGCAGGGGTTAAATGGCCACAATGGGAACTGAAATGGTGACCAAGAAGATACATCAGAGGAAAAGAAACAATTCAATCCATTTTGGTGTTTTGTTTGCTGCTGTTGTGTAATTCTTCTAAATCACAGAGTGTGTGGGCTGATCAGTCTTCTTTAAACTGGGTTCACACCAGGTAAAATCTTAATGCAATCTCAACATGCATCATTGGCAAATGATGTTTTTTGTGAAGAAGCACACAGCAGAGCTGCTTTTCCAAGCATCAGGACATTATACTAAGGAAGCTTTAATATTTGTATTTATCTGGGTGGTGTGCTGGGTAGCCTCTCACAGCCAGGGCTGTGTTTCCTGCCTTCGTGTCTCTATGTGTGTGTGAGGGTACGTGTGGAATTTTTACTTTTCAAAAAATGTGCACGGATGTGATTTTGGTGCATTCAGCTCTTCATTGCCTTTAATATGTGTGTAATCCTTGTCCCATGCTCTGTGATTCCTGGAATTAGTTTCAGGCTTAACATGACCTTGTACTGGATAAATGGTTATTGAAAATGGTTGAAGAGATCATTGGAATAATTAAAATAAACTGTCATAGTTTCTTTTTCAACAACGACGGCCCTGATGAGACTAATTACAAAGTGATTTATTGATTTATTTGAAACATTTGACCACACTTTGGGTCATACTTTTCCACACAAATCGATGAACAAGTTCCCCGCCTTCACAATCTGACATTAGGAATGTTTTGTAGTATTACAGCGTTCTTCTTACCTTACCGCTTGCTTGTTTGCTCTCTCAGGCACCCACCGCCCACACACGCACACACACAGACACACGCGCACGCCCAACGTCTTCCCCATCGACACCCTCCTCTGGAAAAGGCAGAGCTGGAGCTAGTTTTAGTGCCACAAACGGCCAGAAATGCTGAGCTCTGCAAAATTCGCCGTTTTAATCAAACATTTGGTCATAAAGCATCACAGTCACGGAGGTAAAGGTCCCTAAAACAGCCTTCCTTCTCCCTGGGCAAAGATCCATGTGTTCTTGGCCCTCCCCCTACCCCCCCACATCCCACATCCCACCAGCCCCTGGGCTTCCTTCTTCTTCGCTCCCCCATCTCTCTCTTCCAACACTAGCAACATTTAGCCCCCCGCCCAAAACAAAGAGCCACACTTCCTGCTTCTCACTCACGACCGACAAATTCACAGTCATATGGCATAAACTGCCACATACAAAGTTGTAAAAAAAAGTACCAGCGATCCATGAAAAAAAATGCCTGACTGACGATCACCTGCCAGTTACCTGTCAGACTAGGGCTCGTCTCTCGGCCAGAGGATAGACCAGCTGTCAGTCAGAGCACGTAAACTCAAAAATAAGCACAAACATAACAACACAAAGCTGTGTTCCTTCAATTTTGGGGACAGGCCAATATCCTCCTGGCTCAGGTATTTCGAGGCCTGTGACATTCTCCCCCCCTCCTGGAACACAACATTTAAATGGTGGGTTCAAAGGAGATGGCATTTGCTGAGGAGCAGAACCTGCCAAGTGGTGGACAGGCTCCCCATGGCCAGGGGAGAGGCGGGGCCTCAGGAGCAGGCCGGACCGCCCTGGTCATGTGTCGATGACCTCACGGGCTGGGGACTGCTCAATGGGTAGGCTGGTAGCATTGGGCAGGGCCTGGTTATGGGGTACTGAGTTCTGCTGTAGCTCCATGGCGATGGCATTCTGGGGGAACTCCTTCACCTGCCTCTGGTACTCCAGGAAGGTGCAGGCCTTAGTGGCGATGGCCACGATGTTCTTGCCAATGAAGATGGTGGAGACACGGCTGTCCTGGAACAGGACCATGTTGACCGCCCGGATGAGGATGGTGACCACGTTGATGGTGACCAAGCTGAGGACAGGGTACAGCATCATCTTCTGTGGCGAGACGTGCTCGCCCTGCATGCTGATTTCGCTGAGGGACACACAGGGCAGGATCAGCAGCAATATGTAGCAGTAGAAGAACATCAGGCCCTCGGCCCAGATGGGCAGACCTGTCCGCTGCGGCTCCCACAGGTTGGCCTGGATGTCCAGGATGTCCAGCAAGTCAAGGGCCACCCAGAACAGGCGGCCGCGCATGTCCTCCTTCTTACGGAACGTTCTGACGTACTCCATGCTGTCCAGCGCCACCAGGATGAGGTATAGGCCCGGAACGCAGATGGACAACAGCAACGTCAGGGCCTTGCGGGCTACTGTCTCCAGGCTGCGCCGGTCCGCCTTGTAGTTCTGGAAGACAAAGTAGAGCTTGATCTCCAGCACGAAGATGTAGAGGAACCACAGGATCATGGCGTAGCCCCGCTTTGCCGTCTTGACCTCGGCGCCCACCCACACGGCCACGTAACGCAGCACGATGAGGAAGCAGATGTCGCCGACCAGCACGATGATGCAAACCCCGATCTTTCGCGGGCCCTGGTTCTGCTCTACCAGGTAGGCATCCATGAAGGCCATGCTGGTCATGATGACTATGGTGGTCAGGCAGACGTGACGTTTGTCAGGAGACGGCAGCACCATGGTGAGGGCCCTCGGGACCACCTCGCTCCTGCCTGCCCCTACTCGCTGACCTGTCGTTCCGGGTGAAATTTAAGGCCAAGCAGACTTGACTGCGAGTCTGGATGTGGAACAGTGCCAGGCCCTAAATCCTCTCTCTGCATGTGATGTATTTTCAAACTTTATCGATGACAACATCCCTTCTTTCTCAGAGGACTTCTGTTGGGTGAGCTGCCATCCTGACCATGCTCATGGGTTCGCTGCTGAAACATTATGATTGTTTATGCGTTAATGAGAGCAGACATCTCCCTTTAAAATCTGCATCTATTCTGAGTGTAAAATGGGGACCAGGGAGAGTTTCAGGAGGAGCGATCTCTTGTGTGCGTTTTTGCCTGCTGACAATGCGCCAGTTCATTTGAGAGAGTTTGCTAAGCACAGCTGCAATGGTGATTAGCAGACCCCCCCGGGGGCCTGCAGCACTGAAACACAGCACAGCTCCAGAGAGGACAGGGTGGGTGTGTCAGGCCTTATGGCGGTCAGTCACTGAAAGCACCGGGGGCGGCCCATTGTCCTCGGCGTCCTGCGGTCCCTCCCCCGCGGGGGGCTCCAGCTGAGGGCTCCGCGTGCATCTTCCACTGCCCTGTGCAGTCTGGGAAGGAGAGCAGACACAGACCTATCAGCAGAGGTAGAGCCATAAGTCACAGCTTCCAGCTATAGGACTGATGCCAAATCCAGGGGTGGGTGGGATTCATGGGCTACAGAGAAGAGAATAAAATTTGAAAGAACTATCTGCAAAACAGCACAAGATCCTTCAATTACAACTCTTGGGGAAAACATGATATTAATTTTAACCAAATAATTTTGAGAGAAAGTATATTACACATTAAGAACCATTAATTTGTTTCAGGACCTATTTACATGTGATTAATAATGTAGTTGAATCCCTTCTGAAAACAATATGAATCCTTATTTTTGCATACGATTTTTACAAATATGTTTAATCACAGTTTGTTGGATATGGTTAAATGGGGTTCCACAGTCATAGATTGTTGTGTGTACATGATTTAGGAAGGATCTAGGCTCTTGGATCTTTGTTTGTTGGATATAGGTGATTTATTTGTTAAACGTCAGAAGCCTAGAGCAGCACAGGGTTTGGGTTCCACTATGTTGAGACTTGGGACATAGTTGCTAACATTGTTAGCAACTATGCTTTTGGGAAATGCACCCCCTAGTCAGTCCTGACTCAGTGCATGGTGGGTAATTGAGTCTTTTAAATCTCAAATCCTAAGAGGGGCATAAGACACTGAAACATGCATATAAAAATCAGTTTTATGTTATATTTATTTATAAATTAATATATAATATATTAATTTTATACACAGGCATTTTGTCAGCAGTCTGATCCAATATGTATGTTACATCTTTAACATTTGAGCTACTGGATGTTTAGTTTCTTTAATTCTGTATTTTATTGTGACATATTAAAACATTGCACAAAGAGCCTACAAAAGGCTATGAAAAACCCAAATATTCAAAAGGAGAATAAAGAGCGTGTGATTCAGCCAAAGAGAGGCTTCAACAGAAAGGGCAGAATGACAAACGGCGAGCAGAACTTACTCGGTATCTAAGAATCTGTTCACTGCTGGATGATTCAGCAGTAAGAGCAACAGCTAATGGAGACTCCAGCTTCTGGAGTGAGACTCACAGCATTTATCACGTTACAGTGCTCAGAGTGTCTGCTGTAGGACAGTCCGCCACGTGATGATTTTACTGATAGTGATGAAGAAGTGCATTGAAATGTTCATGCCAGATGTATGGTCGGTGGGGGGGTCTGGGGCGCCGTGCGGGGGGAGAATCATGTTAAATGTCAAATGTCAGCGTCATGTATTCAGATAGCAGCATGAAAAGCAATTTGCTGTGCCATGCGGCGTGTGAGTGGTTGTATGGCTGTGGAGTGACGTCTGTCCCTCTATTTAAAGATCACTCTGGCCAATACTTCTTCACTCTGCCTTGGCGTTGCTTTCAGTCTCTGTACTCCTTATTTTTATCAAAGCATTTCCTGGTTTTCTAGATTAGGAATTTGGATTGGTTCAGTCATCTCTGGTTTTACCTCTGGATTGTTCATTGTCTAGTAGGCTGTCCTGGATTCAGACCCCAACTCGACAGAGATGAAATGTGTAGAAGACCTGCCTCTGTACGTGTACATGGCGTGAGCTGTCTGATCGCTGCTGTCAGTGAGTCTTGCTTTAGCAACGCTGTACACATGAGACTTGGAGGCTCTGGTCTATGTCAATATGAAGGCAGCACAAAGGTTCAGTGCAAGCTTGGGAAATGCTACCAGGCTAATGGCATGAATGCTGCCGGGCCTCGGGGTCATTAATGCTGGCTGACACACACGCCGTGTAGCGAGGGTACAAAGGGGAACCCAATCTTGCTGTAAATGCAATGTCAAAGCAGAAGGCCCCTGCCTGACAGACAGGTGAAAGCTTGTCTATCTATTTCCTCCGTGGATGAGAAAAGACAGAGATAACCGTGTTGCTCAGACTTTAATGGGTTCACCGAGGCGAAGCGGAGCAGGGATAATGCCCTCGGCACAAATGATCCCGCACAGAAATCGCGGAATTACTGGAAATTAATGTCAGGTGGAAACAGGATCAGGTGTCTTGTCAGGTCTGGCTCCCCCCAGTATTGCCCCGGATGACAAAGGACAACACTGCCACACTGCGAACAGCCCTGCCAGGCATCACGTGCAGCTCTCTCGGAGCCGGAGGCTCAACTCCCATGGCAACCAGTGCCAACGTGGGAGAGATGTGACAGATACGGAGCCTACAGCTGTTTCCTGAATCAAATGGGTCCGGTCAGACTCTTTGCATGCCCTTTGCAGCTTAACCAATCACACTTCTTGTTTGTGTACAGTCATTACCCTTCAGCTTAACCAATCACACTGCTTGTTTGTGTATGATTGTTACCCTTCAGCTTAACCAATCACACTGCGGGTCCGAGTACAGTCATTACCCTTCAGCTTAACCAATCACACTGCGGGTCCGAGTACAGTCATTACCCTTCAGCTTAACCAATCACACTGTGGGTCTGTGTACAGTCATTACCCTTCAGCTTAACTAGTCACATTGCTTGTTTGTGTACGGTCGTTACTCTGCAGCTTGACCAATCATGCAGCATCTCTGTGTACAGTCACTACCCTGCAGCTTGAGCAATCACACTGCTTGTTTGTATATGAGTATTATTCTGCAGCTTGACCAATCACGCTGCGTGTCTGTGTACAGTTGTTACTCTGCAGCTTGACCAATCATGACGCATGTCTGTGTACAGTCATTACTCCTGTTTTAATGATTGTATCTTTCAGCCTGCCATTTCCACTCACTCTCCCCCCCCCCCGCGGTTGTCTGTGAGAGCTCCGAGCCGAGCGGCCAGACACGTTAACGCAGACAGAGTATTTGTGTCTGCGTCTCTGCTGACTGCAGACCAGCATTAATGGATGCCAATGACCTGCGGCTCCTGCATCAGCCTCAAACATCCAGAAGCACAGAGACCTCAGCCTGGATGGGCAAGTCATGGTGCTCGTGTTGGCATCTGCTCGTGCTCCTATTTGTCAGTTAGGCTGTCATACATGTCACAGTCACACACATTTAACATACATCTTTACTGGATCTGTGCCCAGGAGCAGCACCCATTTATACATGGATGCATACACACACACAAACACACACACACATGTAGGGTAAACATATCCTTATGGGGACCGCTCATTCATTTCAATGGGAAAAATGCTAACGCTAACTATGACAACCTTAACCCCTACCCTGCCCTAACCATAACCATAAGTAACCTAACAAAATACAAGAGTTTTTGCATTTTCAGTTCTTTCATAGCAGTCACCGATTTTTTATAAAATACAGTTTTCCCTTATGGGGACCAGGAAGCCGGTCCCCATAAGGGAAAAAAAATGGATATTTATCATGTTATGGGGACATTATGTCCCCATAAGGATAGGTAAACCTGCTCACACACACACACACACACACACACACACACACGCACGCACATACTTACACACATGCATACATACATACACAGTGCCACACAGAGACTTTTTGAGGGGCAGGTGCTCCAGGGTGGGGGGTGGCCGGGGGGTGGCCGGGGGACTCCTTCAGTAAATTTTGCGTGATCGTCAGTGATTGGCAACATCTGCTGACGAAGGTGCACGATTGTCGGTGATCAAAAGAGGCACTCAGAACCTCAAAATGGGGGCACTCTGTACCATTCGCGAAAAAGGGGCAGGTGCTCAGGTGTGCAATTATGTTACCACAGCTGGAAATCATTATGCTGTTTAAGGAAGCAATAAAACTGACCGCCTTTGGGCTACTAGGGCATCTGGAGCATCAGCATTTGTAGGTTTGATTATGGTCTCAAGATGACCTAGAAGAAAGAGTTTTCTTCAGAAACTCGTCAGTCTATTGTTGTTTTGAGTAATGAAGGTTATTCCATGCGAGAAATTACTAAGACACTAAAAATGTCATATAAATGTGTGTGCTAGTCCAGACCTGCCCAGCCTGCTGTGCCAGTTTGGCTAAATTTTTCTGGAGAATTGGCTTTTTTGGGGGGGGGTTGCCATGCTGGAGTACCTGAAATTTGCATGTACTGTATGTACCTGAAATATTTCCTATTTATGAAGTTTTTTCTTTCAAACTGGTTGATTTCAGGCAATTTTTCCGCTGAGGAAAAACAACTAAAGGAAAAACATTGCCATGACACAATTATTGTCGCACTTTGAAAAAATAAAATCACTGAAAGCTGATTGTCATTGCAGTGAAATTAGTTTCACCTGTGACAATGTTTCAGTGCTCACAAGATTTAAATTGACCAATGAGTGCTGGCTTTAATGCTTAAAAGGGCCACATCAAGTATCTGCTCTTTCACAATGGTAGAAACTAGAGAGCTATCTGAGAGCATCAGAAATGCTATGATCACAAAGCATTCTAAAGGGCACGAGGGCATCTCCAAAGACCTTGGCACACAATTTTAGTAATAAGTTTGCTGCTAATGGAACTGTCGAGAACCAGAGAAGTCTTTAAATGACATCCACATTGCTTAAGGCTGACTTGGAGCAAACTGGAGTGATGGGTTAGATCCATTCCATATGCTGCACACTAAACCAAGGAACACTTTATGGGTGCAGACCAAGGAAAACAGAACTGCTGAAAGAGTGGCATAAAAAGGCTGGTCTTGGTCAGAACTGGAAGCCATGAATGTGTTAAAGGAATCATGAAATTAGAAAATTATCAAGGCATGTTAGAGACACATGGTCTACCCAGGGGAATCTTTTGAAAGAGGTGAAATCTGCCACTGGGAAAAGGAATCTTGCAAACATTCAAGAGCTGCAACAATCTGCAACTGAAGAGCAGGAGACACTACCAGCAAACAGGTACTGGAAGCTTACAGATACCTACAAGAAGTGTTTGGAGGATCTCTTTGATGCCAAGGGGTGTGCAACCAAAAATCAGGGAAGGGTGCTTTTAATGCTGTCTATGTTGTATTTTTTCCTGTAAAATCACTACATTTAAGTTGAAAAGAGCATCTCTCTATTGAATGACTTTGGACATACCATTGAAATATGCTGATGATACAAAG